AAAAAATTAAATTAAATATATTAAAAATAAATGGATGGAGTAATATTTATCTATAATTTTATAAATATTTACACTAAAAAAATTTAAAAAGATACTTTCACAGATTTAAAATAACGGTAAAATGGTTTGCAGCTAAGGATGTCAATGGGGTTTTGCGGGGTTGGGGAGTCCCTCCCCGTCCCCGTGAATGGCAGGGATAAGGATCCCAACGAAAATTTTTGACGGGGGGCAAATTTTGCCCCCCATCCTCATTCCCCGCCAATTAATACTAAAGTATATATTTTTTGCATCAAACATAAATAAAAATTAATTTAACATAAATAATTAAATCAATAAAAAGGAAAAATTGAAGGTGAGACCATGAGAGTGAGTGAGGAGAAATTGTAGAAGCAAGAAAGGGAGGGGAAGGTCGAAGGTGAGGTGAGAGTTTGATTGTCCGACCGAGACTCAGAGTGAGTGAGGGACTGAAGTGAAGGCTGTGGCTGCACTGCTGCGTGGGTGAGGAGAAAGAGAAATAATAAGGTTAGGAAATTAGGGTTGGAAGGAGCATGATGGGTTGGGTTGAGTAAATTTTAATTTTTATTGAATTAAGTTTCGATTTTATTTTAAAGGTTAAATTAAATTTAAAATATACATTTTTTTAATTTTTCGCTGGGATGAGATCTCGTAGGGTTCCACGGGACGAGAAAAATTTCTTGTAAAATTTCATAAGGAGAAAATTCCCACCATTTCCACCCCACAGAGAAAAATATTTCTCTCCATCCCGTCCTTGTGACGAAGATCTCCGCGAGACCTTGCAGGAATCGGAGGAAATTGCCACCCCTATTTGCAACTGGTAATGTCAATTTTTAGGCGAAATGACTTATTGAAACGACACCGTTTCAAGTTATAGCACTTATTCCCAACCCCAAGTTGCCTTTATCGCCTTTCTACCCTTCTTGGTTTCCAGAAATTCACAAACCCCTAAAGATGAATTCCATCTCTGAATTCTTCATCTTCAATAACCACATCACTGCCCAACCCAATGATGGAAACTCATTAAGTGGAGATTGCTTTGATTTTTTCCTTGAGCCTCCATGCTTTCTTCCACTCATCACTTTTAGCTGCTCCTGTTGCTACTGCTTGTGCTGCTTCATCAATAACCACATTATTCTTCGATTTTCCTCTTTTTCTCTTCATTCAAAACCCCTATTTTATTTTTTATTTCCCTCACTCAATTCCACTCTTTTTCAGCTTCCCCTTCAATCTCCGCTTGGAATCATGGAGGAAGAACGACCAAAAAACAAAATGTTGTGGAATAGGTTCACCCCGTTAAAAGTAAGCTTTCTTGGTTGGCACTTTTTGTTGGATCTTTTGTCGATAAAAGATAATCCTATGAGTAGAGGTATTTCCTTGGGCCTTTTAGGTTTTGCTTTTTCTCATCTGGGTATTTGAGTTTTATTTGAATTTCGAATTGGGTATTTGTAATTGCACCAAACCAGAAGTCCTTCTTCAGTCCGCGCTTGCACTCCGGGATGACCTGCAAAGCCCCAAGGTTGAACTCGGGGTAGACACTCCGATGCTTAAGTCAGCAATAATCGGGGCTACCTTTAGGACGGAGATAAAAAGAGCTTAGGGTTGGTTTCAATTACTTTTTTGACGTGGCCCGGGGGGGTATTTATAGGATTCAATGAGGAACCCACGTGTCATGCCAAGCAAGATAATCGGAGCCTAACGTGTCCATCTAGACGATTATTCCGGGACCGGGAATTTGAGAGGTATCTAGATGCACGAGCGTCCACCATACTTGCTGTGCCACTCATCGTAAGGGATCAGGCGCGGGCATGCTTATTGTCCTTGTCATGCAGCCATTTGAGCGGGAAGCTTTGGATTTATTCCTCACTTCGGTCATAAAGGAATTACTGTAGCAGTCCGAGGCTTGGCACCTCGGACCTATCCTTACAGTATTCAAAAAGATTGGTATTTGTTTCTGGGTTTTTAATAAGAGAAAGAAAGAAATGAAGCCTGTTTCTGGGTTTTTTGTTTCCAGAATTTTTGTTTCCAATCAATTGTATACTTTTTGCTTGTGCCAAGGAAATACCTCCTGCTCATATTAAGGGCTTGTGAATTTTTGAAAACAGGGGAAAGTTGAAGATGGGAAAAACAAATCGGGGACAAGGGCTTAACTTGAAATGGCGTCATTTTAATAATTAATTCTGCCTAAAAATTGACACTACTGGCTGCAAACCATACTATCGGCTGCAAACCATTTTACCGTTAAAATAAAACACAATAGTATAATGTTACAAGAATTTATTTTAAAAATAAAAATAATTAAAGACAATATATATTAACTCATTCAATCACTGTTGTGATCATTTATATCAGTATAAAAATTTTAATATTCCGAATTTGATAGTGGAACCGTATGATAAAAAGAAAGTTAAGTAGAAATCCCCAGGGGAATTTCTCCTGCTGCACTCTTCCATCATTTTTTCTAATAATATAAATAATTTAATTATAAATTTTTAATAAAAATAAAAAATTTTAAATTTAAATCTCATAATTTATAAATAAAATAAATTAAAAATAAAAAATTATTTTTTATTATACAATTTAAAATATAAAATAGTAAAGAAAGTAAAAAGAAAAAGCGAAGACGGAGTATATACATAACGTAAAGGAAAATAATCGGCGATGAAAAAAAGAAGAAATCGCCACGTCATCGTATTCGTATATATCACCGAAAGTTGACACAGTTTCACCCGCCTTCTGTTTGAAGGAGAAGCTGTGGCAGCATACAATTTCATTCTTCATTCACACAAACATAACCCTGCTAAAGATGAATCAGAACCGTGGAACAATGTCTAAGCTGTTTTTGATGTAATGGAGCATATGCGAGGACTTTTTTTTTTTTTTTTTTTTAATTTCCTTTAAAATTTAGGTAAATTAAATTATTTTGGCTTCAGTATTTGAGAATCAGGATAACTTGCTTAATTGTGAAGCAAATTAGCAAGAAATGAATTGATTTAGAATTGGAATTAGAGGAATTCTCCCCTCCAAAAATATGAATGTTGCATAATGTAACCTATAAATGAAATTTTGTTTTGAGAATGATAAGCTACAATGTTTTGATATTTAGTGGTTTATATAACATATTGTTTATTGTGTAATTCATTCTTTTTATTCAAAAAATGTCCATAATTCTATGTATAATTATTTAATTAAAGAAAATGATAAACATATAATGATTTTATATATAATAATTTTAAAATATAACTTGATATACTATATGATTAATTTTTATTCAAAAAGTAACGTATAATAATAATATATATTTAATTATTTAATATGCCATGACATGGTATGTGGGGTTAGATTACATTATGTGGACCTCAGCCTTCCTAACGTAGGTCCACCAAAAAATGCAGTTTCAATTGGCTTGCGAAATTCCACAAATCCTAGGAAAACCTTAGCATTATACTTGATCATACTTGGGTCTATAGGAGTCCACAATTGTGGGTCCATTCCATCAATATGAGCATACACAAAAACAGGATTGTCTTCATTGTCATTGCCAAAAATGGTGCTGGGTATAAGGTCTATGTGTGCCCCAGGCAAGATCTCTTCCTTCATGATCGTTTCCCCATTAATTCCCCCTCTCTTGACATGAAACACAAGCAGTGCCCATCGACTTCTGTTTTCAACACGCGTAGTCTTTGAGAGCAAAGTAACTTGTGGACTGCCCATAAGAAACAGATCAGTAAAATTCTTCAACATACACAAACCCAAACCCCAAGTCAATACCCTTTTTCTCTTTCTCCCAAGTTTTCTTCAATATCACAACGCCAAGATTCAAGAACAGCATTCTTCATCAAACAGTAATACATTGCATTCATATATACACTAAGAAAGTGAAAGAAGCAAAATTTTCGAATCCATTCATTCATCCAGTGGAGCTAGACTTTCTACTGAGACTTTATGTACTATGCTATGACAAGAAAAAATTTTAAGGACACTTCAGCAATCATTTTTAGTTTTAAGGACTGATCTGAGAATCTGAGAAAGTTAAAGACTATTGTCTTTTTTTTTTTTCCCCCAAAAGTTGGAACAATGTAAAGTCTAATTTGCACTTTTTCTAAATTTGTATTTTGTAATGACATTTCTGTCAAAATTCTAACACCAACTACCTATCAACAATTTTAACACCATGCAAAGAGTATATATAAACAATATGCTTAATAAAAAACATTGTCACGGCTACAATTTCATGAGAAGAGTTCAAATATATGCTCCCATTCTCAGGTAATATCTAACCGGTGGCCATTGTTGGGCTTGGATTGTGGATGGAGAGGAGTGGGGTTTATGGATTGCTATGATGTTCAAATATCAGTTTTTTCTTTCTTTTTTGGTAAAAAAGCAAAATATCAGTTGCTGCCGCTGCAATGATGTTCATGTTCCCATGATGTCCAAGTCCAACAACTCGACCCACACAGAGCCAAGGGAATATGTTTCAAGAATATATGAATCCCTAGGATCAACTAATCATAAGGAAATCCATTGCCTATTTTAAAAAAAAAAACAAAAAACTAATTATAAGGAAATAACGTTTCCTATGGGACTAGAATAGGAAGATAGACATTTTAGTAATTAAAAACTTGAATTTTCATATTAAAAATCTCAAATTCAAATTTAAAAACAGGTGAAGAGAGGTTTGATAAGAAAAACTATCTTTTATTTTATAACTCATTATTTGATTAAAAAGAAAAATTGACAAGGAAATAGCAAGATCAGGCCAACAAAACAATCACCACCAACAAACCCAGTTTCTCCCCACTCAAATTGCCATCAACAAACCATTAGATCCAAGACCATCCAGGCTATTCGACTCAAACTAATTTTTTTTTCCCTATTTTATTCATTTTTCAAAGAAAAAAAAATGTGAGAAGAACAAGAAGAAAATAGGGAGAGCCGAAGCCATGCACTAGAAAAGGGGGATCTCATGTTAGCTCATGGTTTCTAAATGCTTTGCAGTTTAGTTGGAAAGGCAAATAAGGAGGCTACCTATGGCACCAAGCAAAATATATAAATTCTCCAACTTTGGCTTTGGAAGCAACAGGGTATATATTTTGCTGTTGTTGTTTCATGACGTACGGATTAATTTTGTTGTTTGTGGAAGCTTGATTGGTAGCTCTTTATATCTCACATATATTGAGGGTTTGATATTGCCTTCAGAAAAGAAAAGGGATGAAAAGGTTAAAACCAAGCCTTAGAAAGTTGAAGAAAGAGATTGTAATTAAGCAGTAAAAATGCATCACGGAGGAGCAAAGAAAAGTTAGACAGAAAGTTTAAAATGATTGAATCCCAATATTGTCACCATCTCAGCTGAAGGAAACTCAGCTCATTTCCCAGCAGAGTGCTGCGACGCGTTTTAGCTTGCCCCTGTCTTTCAAATCCTCAAGGCTAGGGAGGACAACGATTTCAACAAAGCTAATGGCCTTACTCGCTCTCTCCGGTTAGTTGCAGATAATTAGTCCTTTTTTATTTAAGTACTTTTCTCTCAATCTCTTCTC